TTTATTTAAAATATATATTTTAAATAAATAAGACCGAGCCCTGCAATTTTGTAATTAATAAAAGAGAGCGTTTGACAGAAATTTGAGAAGTCTTATCGTTCTAAAAGAACTTGTAAATAAAATTCTTCCCCGACTGCGTCCCGTCTATAAAGCAGAACAAAGCAGGGGTCGTCGCACTTGGGGCTTCTCTGAAATACTAAATCCGCCAGCATTAAATTAGTAGAAACCGCGCGCGCGTGATTTATCCCAAGAAAATGATTTCTACAATTATAGTTTTATATCGCTTAGTGGCGTGGCGAAGAGGAATTAAAGCTATCGTAAGAGTGAAGCTACAAGATAGCTTTTATAACACGATTATCCCGTGGTTCCAGGTACAGGAAGCTTTAATCTCGTTAAAGGACGAGCTCAAAGGGACCTATTACACGCTCAGAACATTAGACAAACAGATCCGGCAACAATTACTGGATGATCATTTCCTGTTCAAGAAAGGTGACAGATTTCTAAAAGCAGCGAACACTATTAGATTTAGATCAATAGATAAGTTTCCCTAAAGCAATAATGTACAGCTAATATCAATAATTATATTTCCTTACTTGTCTACGTCTGAAATTAATTTTAATGTACATGTAATTCAGCTTTGGAGCTAAATTAAATTGCACAAATAAACTAAAATTATCTGATGCCCATCTTATTTATTTATTATTTGTAGAAATCGGATGGCATTTCAAATGTATTCCATTTACGTTGACTGCGCGCTAAGAGCTAACTTCGACGACTAATATTACACGGGGTCAAACTTCGATCCGACCGTAGTTGCTTTCGTTAAAACATTCAATTACAATGTCTTAAGTTCCTTCAGCCTACTCGAAAACATTAATCCCCCGGTAAGCCATACACCCCCAAATCGAGGATTTATATTGAAACGAAGATTAAACCAAAACTTTACCAAGATTAAAGCAAGTTCTCTAAGAGAATAAGCAAAACGATTACGCGTGCGTATATCAGCAAACGTTTCGATCTGCAAACCGCAACGTGCATTTTTAAGCAGATTCTCAAGCAGAGTAATCAAGCCTTTTATACCCACGTTTACACTCTTATTACACCGTACTTTAAATAATCATTTAAGTTATAAATCCCCCACGATGCCTGTGTAAACAATGTATTCTACGGTATAACGTCTTACGTATGTGGTACAAGGACGGCGAACAGCTGATTAAATAAATTTGCATTAATGATTTTCGTCACGATGAGGTCTCGAAGATCCCTTCGCCTCTCGGATTAGAGAGTTAAAAGGGTTAGAAGGTATTACGGAGCTTAGTGTTACGGAGCTTAGAAGAGGGTGTGGCGTGCAGTGCTTGAGAGTTTTCCGAGAGGATCGAATGTTTCGTTAAATTCTTTTTTTTTTTTTTCGTTTTTATGGACCGTTCCAAATTACGTGAAATGCAGGAGATGTGTTCAGAATCATTAATTCGTTATTATGAAAAATGAGATACAAAAGAGTTTCTGGCTTTTTCCCAGTCGAGTCTCTTGTTTGTGTAATCATTTAGTAATCATTTTGCGTAATCATTCCGATTTTTAAAATATATACATATAGATTTATATAACGGATGGATAATTCAAGTTACATTTATTGTAAAAGAATTTAAGTGGAAGACAAAACGAATTATCACGTTAATTAAAAAAAAAAAACGTTTCATTTTTCATCGTCTGTCGAACAAAGGATCTCGGCGCGCCCTTTTTCTCGCGTTTACGCAGAACGCATCTGCAGTTATGCTTAATTAACAGCATCATAACTCTGTTGGGTTTTCCTCTTGTTCACCTCATTTGACGTTGTCGCTAATATTAATTAAATGTGCAATGTACAGAAATATGATTCGCCATAGGACAAATTTAATTGCGTGCTTTGTTTCGTCTATCTATTGCATATCTCATCGTTGTATTTCTTTTTTTTCATTTGCATGCATTGCACGAGATTACCGCGTTGCCTGCTTGTTACTCACAGATAATCAGAATCGTAGCCGGATCTATTTTTCCTTTTAATAAAGAGATACGCTCGACCGGTCGAATCAATACAGACTAGCCTTTGAATACACTATAATAGATTAAAGTGCATGGCGCTCTCGGTTTAAGTTCATCTGAATATTAAACTGTTTATATCATACACCTTACATAAAATATTATCTTATCGTTATAATTGAATTTAAAAAGCGCTTATTCCAAATTAACTTTTATTCAATTTCGATATTTACCGATTTTATATTCGTTATTGAATTTAGTAATGTTTACAGTCTATTAATTGGATTACAAAACAGATAAACTACGAGATCTATAAGTGAGAGTTTGGTAAAATATAAATGAGATTTAAGCGGGAATAAAACAGGATTTATTCTTAATATATATTTGCGCAATATTTTTAGATAAAGTTCACGCCACGTTACGAGCACCACACGTGATTATAAACGCACACGAAAAAATCATTTTTTCAAATTAAAATGCAAGTGAGCGAGGTAACATTCTAACTTCTGAACACGCGTTTGCAATGTAATGTCCCTTGACTGAAAATACGACGATCTCGATTAAAGGTTAAACGGAATTGTCTCCTTGCGACCTATTCATTATCTCTTCCGTACTACAAAGAATTCAGTATAATATTTATAAGCATACACACACATGCATACACAACAAAACTATCTACACAAATACTTAAGACAGAACACAACAGAAGACCTTTTGCGATTAAAGAAGAACATGACTTCTCGGTTGAAAGTTCAAGGGATATAAAACTACCACGCTTGTTTGTATCACGCTGTTCTCTCCTTCAGGTACAAGGAATTTTTTTTAACGAGGAGAAAACTTTCCTTGTCTGACGTAACTTGGAGGATCACATGCGTCTGATATCGATGGAACGAGATGGTAACCTCGCGGCGGTGTACGAGAGACTCGTTAAAGTGGTCCAAGAAATCGAGAAGAAATTGGAATTCCTACGGCACCGAAGACTCGGCTTCCTTACATTTTACTCTACGAATCTTGGCACAGCCATACGGATCTTCGTGCACGTTCGCCTGCCAAAATTCTGCGCGGATTTTATCAACGATCTGAAGAGATCGGCAGTGCACGGTCTTCAGGTGAGAACGACGATATTATATGGATAGAGTTCAATCATCTGATATGACGAATAAATATTATAGTTATTCGATGGATATGAAGAAGCGGACCGCTACGTTTCACAAAATCGAATTTACTTGAAAATTATATATTTTAAATATGTTTTTAAGTAATATTTATTTATAAAATTTTATTCAAAATATATACTTTAAATTTTTTATGATTTCCAGCAAAATCTTAATTTTACATACTTATATTTTAGTTAACAAGAATTATTATTTAAATATAAATATATATAACAAATTCAATTTTTTTATAATATAAGAATCTAAAAAAAAGATTCGTATTATATTTATATAGATTATTTAATCAATCGGATTAATAATTCTCTCTCACATGGATTCTGTTTTATAAATAGAATATTTATAAGAAAGATATTATTTGCATTCAATAGCTTACAAAGAAGCTTTAATTTTTAAATAAAAATTTAATTACTTTTCTAAAATAATTTCCTTTTTTAAGATTTAGTTTAAATTATTTTGAATTTGTATAATATAAGTAGTATTTAATCATGTTTGATTATTATTATGGAATTTTTCTCCATGGGCAAAAGTTTTGTCAAAAGGCATCGTCCGGAGATAAGGATAATTTTAGAATAACAAAAGTTGCATAGAAAGACACAAAATAGAATGCAATGGATATAAATATATAGAAAATAAATGTCTATATAAATATATTCCCACATAAATACATAAAAATATTAAGAATATTAAATTTGGAAAGAAATATATATATAAAAATTTTATAAATATACATAGATGTTGCATAAATATAAACATTTCATAAATATTAAATATACATATATTAATTTTGTAGGATATAATAATAATGTAGAATATAGCAATAAAAAGCATTAAATTATAATATAAATAGGAGATGCCTAGAAAATGAATTTTGCATGCTCTCTTGGATTGAATTTGCGAACCAAGTGTATATAGAAAATTATTTTGTCACAGTAAATAACTTTACTACGCGATGAATAAAAAATAAATTAATGACCTTAACAATTCATGATTGTTTTATATTTTTATATTTTTAAAGAATTATAAAATTTAAATTAATAAAAAAAATATATTTACAATAAGTAAGTATATTGGCATATATAATGTATACGTATGCACATTTTTATATATTTATAAATTTTTTATTTTTATTATTGCAATGTTCTTGAAAGAAACAAATATTTTTTAGAAACACTAAAAGAATTCTTCTAGTTCTTTAATCATTTGATGATAGAAACAGGCTGACAACAATATAAGATACTAAGCATTAAATATTAGTAATACATATCAGTTAGTTTCATCCCCGATATCTCTTTCGTATAAATTATTAAAAATTTTCTCTTATGTTTTAAGAAATAATTATATAAAATATTAAGTTAGAAATTGCTATTTTTAAATCATCAGAATGTAATCGATATAAAATCGATAAAATGTTAATTAAATTAATTTCTAGAAAGAATGTGATTAATTATGTAATTACTATTATAATTGCTTAAACTATTTTTATACTTAATAATTAAGTTATTTTATTTTAAATAATTTATTATAATTTAAATGTATAATCATTTTATTTTCAATAATTGACATTAATTTGTTGATAATAAATTCAATTATGCGAAATTATAAGAATAATATATAAATTGCAAACAAACAAATTACAACAAAGTATGTAAAAATGTAGTTAAAATGACAAGTTAATATAAAATTTATAATTGAAATTCAGCACTCATCATTTTATGACATTCCTTAACGTCCGCCGATGCTTCTGTTGCAACAGTGGAAGTGATTCGCGATTCTTTCTATCGTTCTTCATTGATTGCATTTCACATAAATACTCACGACACAAAATTCGCAAAATTGCAATTTCAACTAATTTTGTAATTCACTTACTCGCAAATATGATAACTAGCGAGTATTTATCATAACATGTAACATGTAAATCTGATTAAAAAGTTTATAACTCTACTGAATTTTATTTTTTAGATCACTTCATTTTAGACGTACGATTCATTTGCAACATAAAATTCGCAATATTTAATTTACAAATTCACTTACTATTATATTTATATTGGAATATTTATATTGCGACATTGCGATTACATTTTTTTTAAATAATAATTTATATAGCGAAATGATTATAAATTAAGTTCGGAGCATATTTACCAAAAAACGAAAAATGCGATAGTTTAATATAAATTTCATTTACATTTATTACTTCGCAACATTCCTGCGTAGATCACCTCGCTTCGCAATATTTCTGCGAAAATTATTTTCGTAATATTCTTACAAAGATTGCATTGCCTCCCTATACTCATGCGAAGTAACAAAGCTTAATATTCGCAAATATCGTTTGATAGTAATTACAACAATGAAATAAAAGATTGCAATCCAGCAATAACGATAATTATTTAGAAATTCTTAAATAATTTGCAATCGCAAAATAATTAAAAAATAAAGTGTTGCGAAATTTCTATCGTAAAATTCTTTTTGCAAAATTAATTCTTAATTCTATGAAATTTGTATAAATTATTCACGTCTAATTGCAAACATATAATATGAATAATAATATAAATAAAAAATCGAAATTAAAAAAAATTGCAATATGAAATTAATAATTATTAATAAATAATGAATATTAATAATTAGTCAAAGAGATAATCAGAAAACGAAGATTGAAATATTTGTTATAAACTTATAATTTTGTGAAATTTCTACTTCTATTTGTGATAATAAAAACAGGAAAAATAGAAAAGTAAAACACGACCTGTAAAACATGAAAGGAAAAAGTAAATCACAAAGTCTATAATTAGAATTTCTGTAAACTTTTCTAATATTCGTGGATCTTATTATTTTTTTCACACATAAAGTAAACACAAAGAATTAAAAATAAAAAATAAATGAAAAATGAAAAATGAAAAACTGTAAAATCTATTATGATATAATAACCGCAAAATAACCACGGTTTATAATTTACAAGATTATTTTAAAGCTTATAAAATTCAACTGTCAATATCAATGGTATAAAAAGGTCCAAAAAATTGATCCGTATAGAGCAGATAAATGATACAGATCAATGATGCAATGAGGGATATTGATATTGATAAAGCCGAACTACTTTAGGAAAAAAAAAACGATTAGAAAAAGAAAATACATACGCACATACACAAATCAATCGAAATTTTTATTATATTAGTTAAATATTTATTCAATCGTATGTCTATTATAAATCGAATCGATAAATGTGTTATAATAAAATACTTCTATAAGCATTTCTACTGCAAATATGTGTTTTCAAAAATCCGAGGGAAATATGATTTTATATCCTTTTTTCGTTTGACACTTTCATTAAAAAATTCACATGCACACAATTGCGCAAAAATCTAACGTAAAATGTGAATCATACTGATTTCAAAAATAGCAATTTCTATGAGAAAAGATCATCACCAGCTTATTTTAAATTTTACTCACCAATATTTCTTATTCAGGATCGATCACGTCTCGCATTCAATTCTAAAACAAAAAAAAAACATAAATAATATATCGCTCATTATAAATATACATCAAAGAAGTTTCATAAATAAATTGTATTCTGTACACAATTATCAAAATAATTTTTATATATAAAATGTTATTTTGACAAATTACATTAATTATAAGAAAAAAAATTTTTATTATTTTATATATGTATTTATATATAATACATTTAAAGATATATACTTTTCTATGACTAACTAATAATTCTGGAGTTTCATGTACATATATCCAATCTTGGCTATAAAAAATATTAAGGTACCTATATTTTTTTTACTTATCTAAAATTCTTTTGCTTGCATTGTTACTTATTAATTGTTAACATTATACAATACATAAGTTTGAAAAGATCCTTAAAACAAAGAATAATTTACAAACGCTATAAATTAATTTTTGATTTAAAACTTTAAATAATAATTAAAAAGGTGCTCAATATTTTTTACTAAGGTTGTATATATGTATATATATATATATATATATATTTAAATTTATATATATGTTTATGCTTTACTTAGAATTTCTTTATATACATTTCGTATATTAAATATTAAATATTAATTTAGTTGTAAAAAGAACGTATTCAAAATTAATAAATTTCAAATATTAAATGTTCAAACAAAAAACATAAAATCTACCTTTTAGTCGATCTTGCTTAACTGGATCCTCCGCAGTTAGCAAATCCGCAAAAAGTACACATTTGTATCTGAAACAATAAATAATTAAATCGATTAAAAATAATTTAATAAGATGTCTGTTTACAGAATTATGTATTAAAACGAAATTGTTACTATTTTTTATTATTCAATTCCTATTATATTATTAAAGAATAATAATAAAGATTTTGCAATATTTGCTTGATTACAATCTTCTACTTTCGATCAACTCTTACCTTTAAGATTAAAGAATTTAAGAAAACCTATTTTATGACTGTTGACTTTTTTGATTATTTTTGACTATCTTTTTAGTGTTGGATTTAAAATAATTCGTTGCTACACATGTTAAATTTTGGTAAAAATTCATTCAAAGATTACATATCCATTGATTAACGCGATTTATTACATATCATATATTAAATTTCTATTTTCCTATCAGAAATGTAACAAACTATATTGCGGATTAAAAGATTCATTTCAAAATATCAATTGAACATTATACTATATGCCGTAATATGTATATCATTACGAGATGTTATAAAAAGTCAGTATTTGTACCTGAATTGTAATTAAATCGTAATATATCGCCTCTAATGTGTAATGCATCGTTGTAACGAGATACGATAAAGAGATAGAATTTACAATTAGTTACGGAGTCGCGTTACCTTTATATTACTCATTACATTTTATCGCATATATACAAATATTGTTTGCGTATTACTATTATGCGCTATGCCAGCTCGTTCAGAGATCGTGGTGTCTAAAGTACATATATGTACGTCACATTCGACCTTTGCACAATTTTGTCCGAAACGCACGTGTTTGCGACATATATATAGTGTACTTTAACGGCAGAACGCATCCCGTTCGCTCACCTGACTCCTGAATGAGTGCTTTCCATTTGATGACAAGTTGCTACAAATATCATTCTATCTTTATTACTCACTGAATGTCAAGAAAGACAGAATGATGATTGTGTCATCAAATGGAAAGCATCCAATGTCCGTTCATTTGATTCTTGAATAGATGCTTCCCATTTTATCCTTTATTATTTGGTGAACAACAAGGACAAATGATGAATCATGCGCTTCATGCGTAACTCGGAACGCACTATTGACGACACAAGTTGCCACAAATATCATTCTAGCTTCGTTACTCACTGAATATCAAGAAAGACAGAATGATAATTGTGTCGACTTGTGTCATCAAATGGAAAGCGCCCAATGTATCGATATGAATAGACGCTGTTACGGCGGACAATGAGCCTAATTCACCGCACGCAACCCCCACCTCTTTTCACACAATGCTGTTCGCCAAGGATAGATTATTGGGTACCGTACGCACAATTAAATTATAATTAATTTATACATATCAAATATATCGATTGATTACACTGAAGATATTATAACCAAACGTAAATTGATCCTGAACAATATAAATTTAATTTAATCTGTTACTATGACTTTATTGTTTTGCACTTCGATACTTTATACTATTGTTATTTTAGTTTTATCTTAATCCATGCTTTCTGCCGTTTAAATGTTTCATGTATAATGTGCTAAAGGGAACTGAGAATAATATACTATAAAATGTATTGTTGTCATCAACATCCGCGTTGGTTCATATTGGTTTATCTTTCCTTCATTTTATTTTAATATAAATTTATTCTAGATGTTTATTGGCACAATTACTTTATTTTGAAAATTCATTATTACGCATAAGTAAACAAATATATATCTCTAAATACATCTAAAAACTTTATTGAATTATTTTTTTTATTTATTAAATTGTTTTATTTAATTTAGTTTATTAAATTATTTTATTTCATTTTATAACGTGTAATATTACAGCGTTAATTTGAAAGAATTACGCATAATATATTACGTTATATTTCAACGACTGAACACACTGTTGATTAAAATTGTATAACATAATGTTTATATATTAATTTTCTCATAATATGGAAATATTCGTAAGACTCACTGATGTTATATAAAGCTGCATCTAGATAAATCGCATTTGCATTCGCATTCGCGACAGCCAATCAGAAGCTGCCGTTAGTACCATTGACGTTTCTAATTAGCTGTCGCGAATGCAAATGCGTTTTGCTTGTTGCGATTTATCTGAATTCGAATGCTGAAAACATTAGAATATAACTATTTACACAGAAAATAATTGTATTGTAACAACGGGATGTCCGTCGTCACCAAAAGTTACGATCGACCGATCGATTTCTTTCTACGTATTTGTCTTCAAATATATTTATTTACCTTCAAATAAAATAGTTGAGATATGTTTTTTATGGTAACTGAAAAATATTTTTTACTCTTTTTTTTCAACATGTACCTTTTCCACATTTTGTTGCATGTATTGCTGATTCGCATATGTACTTGAAAATTAAAATGGTCCACCATAACGGTTTTTTTAATTCCCACGTTATTTAAATGCATTTATCACGTACAAAGCTTTTTCATGCTCACCTATAGAAAACCTCGCGATACCATTCGCCGTTTCGCTGACATCGAATCCAATCACTCTTCTTGATGGACTTAGGATCCGAATATTTCAAAAAGCAAAGTTGGCACACTTCTCCCCTCACGTATTCCCTTCTTTTCTCTTTGCTTTCATCTTTTTTGCTTGTCTGCGTCACAT